CCCCGGAACAAGAATTTTTTCAGAATAACCAAAACTTTGACGGGTTCTCTTCTATGTATAACAGATTAGGAAATTCAAACAAATCCAATATGGAGATTTCATTTGGAATTGAGAAACTGAAATGTGCTCTTTTGAGGAAGCAAAATGAAGTGCTTGACTTTCCAACATTATTTTTTGGCTGATTTCACACACGAAATTCAGCATGAATGTTTTAGTCGTTAGGAAACTTTCAGTGTTAGAGGAAGCAAGACTTCATCCAAAATGCTGTACCACCTCTCTCTCAAGGCACCTCTGAAGTATGTTGGCTTTAGCCTGCTCACTATCTCACAACCACTGCCCTTGTTCTGTGCCTCTCTAGAGTGTGCCCTGGAAGATGAAACCTATGAGGATGGAGCAGAGACCCAGGTGGAGTGCAACCGCTGCGTCTGTGCCTGTGGGAACTGGGTGTGCACTGCAATGACATGCGAGGGTCTGTATGCACTCCAGACAATTCCTGTATTTGGTTTTGTACAAAAGGGACTTTTGCTTTCTATCTTTCTGAGGGCACCAGCTATCCACATTTCTTCTCTCTCCAGCTCTTCCTCAGCTTCTCTATGGGTGGCTTCTGCTCACCTCCCCCGTGCTCCATGTTGGCCAAACCCAAGCTGGTTCTGTTCTAGGTCAGAAAGTGTGTATACTGGGTTGGGAGTAACACTGCTGGGGTTTGTAGTTTGGTTCTGGTGTCACGAAAATTCAGCACCAAATCCTTCAGACCAGAGCTACTCTGCATCCAGCTGGTTTGGGGCATGCACAGACCAAATAGGTTGCTGTCTGCAACCATATGTGTAGGTGTGAGCAAGTCAGCTTTCCTGTATGTGTGTCAGTATCCTCACTGGATCTGTGTTTGCAGTATTTGTAAAGCAGGAGCTAGGGTCTTGTCTTGCCTCTGAGGGGAGATAGGAGACTTCATCCAGTAATGCCAAGAAAGCACTTTAGCTTCTTGCCATAAAAACTGTAGAAGAAAATAAGGGTGAAGGAGATGGTGGGAGGTTGTGTTCATAGTAAGGCAGGGTTGTTTGTCTGTTCTTCCTTTGGAAGGCCCTTCTTCAACTTCCACAGCCATGTTGTAATTGTGAGAAACCACGGTGGGGTTGTGAATAATGGCTCTCTGTTGGTCCAGGGCCAGTGGACAGCCAGCTTTCCCCCTGCCTTGGGAAGTGTATGGGTCCTTTTCAAGGAGCCACATCCACCCGCCCAGCACTGTGCTGCGTTTTTCTGGCCTTCTTCCCTAGAAAACAGGCCTCTGCATGAGCTTTGTTTACAGTGCTGTGTGGGAGCTGTCAGCAGTACGTTAGCTCACATCTATAGCCAGTAGCTTGGGCAGAGTAGGAGAGAGGGGAACAGCAACAAGGATGTGCAGAGTTTCTTTCACATTTAGCTGGCCTTCTGCAGCAGAGTCTTCAGGATCATCTCAGCCCAGACTTGGCTGTGGCAGCAGGAACTCACCTCAGAAAAGATAACTGTATTACTAATAGAGCTGCCAGAGGAGCTGTGGGTAGGTCTTGGAAGTTAAGCAACCAAATGAGACACTCTTTGTTGCCTCCCCAGAAACAACCTTCAAAGTTGCTATGCAACACCCAGTCTTGCTGCCTACTTTGTTCCCTGCATCCATGGCAGAAGTATGCAATGGGACAACAATTCCTTGACTTTCTGCCCATGTCAGAGCAGCAGAGGGGTTAGAAGCTATTGTTAGAGGGATAATGAAGCCAAAGAATCAGATCAGATACAGCAGCAAGTTGCATTTCCACTGAGCGAAATTACCTCTTCATTAGGCATCAGTTGATGTACTTGGATAGCACTGAGCTTCCATTTATTCTCTTCAAGAGGCCAAGATGTTTGAAGTAATTATAGGTGCTTCTTTTAAATAATATGCAGCCTCTTCCTTGTGGTTTTAGTATTTATCACGTGGGAGGGAAAGACAGGGACAGACTAGATACCCAGGTTCTGAAGTCCCAGGCAGCACAAGGCCTGGACTCTTTCTAAGATGCCAACTCATACCTTCCTCCAGCAAAGCCTTCCTAAGCTTGAGATACCCTCTGGCCGACCTGCCTCTTTTTATTCTACGTGGCTCAGCCTCTGAAATTTTCATCCCCTATTTGTGATAATGCTGAACTCCATTTTTGTTGACAGGGAAGAATGAGAAGATGCCTGCTCAGAGACAGCGACCTGATCAAGACTTGACCGAGGAGGAGCTGGCTAGATATGTTCAGGAACTGCAGAAGCATCAGGTTAGCATGAGGCTGGGAAGGTCTGCTGGCGCTAAGTCTCCCCTTGCTAGAGGGGTTCCCTCTGCTTCTGTTCACTTGGAGACTTTGGTAGAAGGGAGAGCGCAGCAAAGGGAGATCTCTGTTGCCTGTGGGGACAAATACAGGGGTGAGGCTTTGAGGTATCTGGCACTGCTTGTGGATGGACCAAAGGCTTCAGAGTGCTGCCAACTCCTGTGTCAGTGCAAAGCTTCACTTTTGTTCTCTCTTTCTAGGAGACGGCTGAGAAGACCAAGAGAATGAGCACCAAGGAGATGTAAGGGGCCTCCACACCGGAGGAGCCCAGGAGGATGGGCCCAACCCACCACCCTGTCCTCCAGTGCTGATCTCAGTATGCACAAGTGTCTGCTACAGTTGCCCAGTCACAGATATTTACATTGTATAGCGATGGGTTATTTGTTTTGTAATACACAGAGAATGGGGCCAGGAAGGGGGAGCAGAGCCCACCTGTTCAGGGAGCTTCATTGTTGGGGCCTTGGAAGGCTGGGAGGGACTCACAGCAGCCTCTGGGACTCTTTCCCAGAGCAGATAGCTGCTCCCTCCAAGAACTAACAGGGATTTCTTGTTCTCCTGGATCTGGGGAAAGGAGGGAGGTCAGTGCTGGATAGAAAAGGGGGTCTTCATTCAATAACAGTTGTCAACACCAGCCTTGGCTGCAGAAATACAGGCCTGGCAGTTTTGTGGCTGAGCACATGTGCTGCAGGGCATCATTAGCCAAGGACCTTGCCCTGCTTACCCTCCCTTTGGTTCGAGCTCCTCAAAGCTGGTCAGCCTGGTGTGACACCTGGAAGCTGTGGTGCCATGCTGCTGGCATGAGTCCAGCACATTCCTCCTTGCTTTCCACCGGACTGTCCCCAGCAGCTCCTCCAGTACATTGTGGGTTCCAACACAACATGGTTCCTTTTGACCTCATCTCACTCTTACTCTCCCTGCCCCCTCCTTAGAGGTGCTATCATGTTTTTTTCTTATCACATTCACATGCTGACTCCCCCTTTTGTTTTGTTTTTTAAATTACTTTATTTCTTATGGTAGTAATTCAGCTTTTGTATGTTTCGTAGCTCTAGATCTTTCAAGAAGACGCAGCCTGTGGGTTTTTGTTATTGACAGTGCTGTAACGCCCATGCACAGTTTGTATCGCACTGCACTCAGCCACCACAAACACCACAAGCAATTTGTGAGTCCTGTGCTACAGGGTATTTCTCAACTGGGGATAGCAATGTCCCTCGTGGGAAGAAGACACAGGGCTGGATGTAATTAGTTGCTCCAGCACGGATTGACACCACAGCTCTCTAGCTCCTTTAGCTAGTGTTGACCATGTGCTCAAAGTCTGTGCTCGTGCCTCTCTCAGTTCCCAGAGGGAAGTGCCAAGTAGTCTAGAGGCAGAGGGAACAGGCAATCCCAGTAGTAGGGTGTCTTCAAAGGCTTAACTCCATAGAAAGCTGTTTAGTTGGGAGTCTGGGCTGTAAGTCGTCATCTTGGGCTTTCCATCTCCATCTGGGTGAGGCAGCAGCAGTATTCTTTGATTCCAGGTCTGAGTTTGGAGGCAGGGCTGGAAGCCTCATTACAGATGCATTTCACAGTGTCTTTGATCAGCTTTGACCACCCTCACATCCTTTGATGGGTCATTTTCACCTGACCCGTTTCTCAGAGCGTTGGTCCTAGATATATATATGAAATGCTGTTTTGTTGACAATCACCTCTGTAGCCTCAAGCCCAGCTGATTTTCTCCTGCAGTCGTCAAATGTACTTCATACACACCTGAACATGCAGTTTCCACATTCCCTCATGCCCCTGCCATGCACCCCAAGCAGTTGCACATATCCTGAGATGATCGCTTGTGACTTCCATCTTCCTGTTGGTGAGCGCCGTCAGCATTGTTGCCAGGTATCTTGCAGCCCCCTAGTGCTTTCTCAAGCAAAACTCCACATGCATCTGCAAAAGAATGTTCTGCTTTAGTGAAGATCAGCAGGACTTTTGTCCCAACCTTCCCCCTTTTGCACGGTGCTTTCCTTGAAGAGGAAGAATGAGCTGGTACCTAGCAAGTGTAGGGAAGAAGAAGGCTTGGCCACTCCTGTGGTCTCACCCATAAGCCAGTTTTGTTAAAGGCTGTCTGGTCTTTGAGCTGTTTTCCTGCTGTGAACCCAGAGGACTTCCACTGTTTTAGGCACAGTGCCACATTTCTAGTGAGAATCGTACCCTACCCGGCCCTGCTTGGAGGTTCTGGCATAATACATACCGAAGGGGGCTGGTTCTTCTCCTATAAGGGTCTGGATTTAAGAAAGTGTCACCTGTGAAGGTGAGGGGAATGAGTCTGAGCTGAGAGTGATGCGGACAATGCTACACTGGGACAGAGTCGTTGTTTGTGTTCTGGTGGTGCTGGATGAAGTGGTTGGTGGAGTTAGGAGCACCCATTAGATACACCCTCACCTCCAACAGTAGGAGAGAAACACCTTCATGTGCTGGATCTGGAGTCACAGGAACATTCTTAATAAATGTTTTGGTTTATTCTGACCCTGCTCTGAAAGGTGGAAGGTAGTTTGTGCCTCCCAGCTCACTTCCTTCCATCTTGGATCATTGAAGTGCCTTAGAGAAAACATAACAGCTTGCCTTAAAGGCTTTCCCT